TATCTCTGTGTCCCGGGCGACAGACCCCGGCTCAACCGCTGACCTGATTTTCAATCTTATTATTGATAACTGTTTGCTAGTCAAAGATTAGAACGCTTTCACCATCAAAAGCTTCGTTTAATCTTGAATATCAAATGAAATTACAATGTGACAGGCACCAACGTCCTTAGTCTGGGTCCTATTATAAAATGATAAAAAAAGACATCAACAGTACGCAATTATCAATGACGTAAGCACAGTTTCAATCATGCTTACATCAATGATAACTTCGTACTATAACTGCTGCTGCTTCTAAATCTCGTACTATGAAGGCGTTGGGCCCACGAGAGCGACCTTGTCCATCCAGCACTCAGGGTCTTGACGATTAATCTGCTAGACGTCCTAGCGGATGACCTCCTTCCAGCGCCTGCATCGTACACCGTGAGGTCGTCGCTATATTGCAGACGGCGGGTCAAACAGGTAGATGACTCTGATAGGATGGTCATAAGGCCGTCGCTGGATGGTTCGAATTTGTGTCAAATGAGAAGATCCGCCAGAAAATCAATCAACCGAACATCCTGCGTACTTTTAAAATCTGAGAAAAATGACATCAGCAGTATGAACTTTGCAATGACATAGACATAGTTTCAAACAGGACGTGTAAATAACAAATGTACAGCCTTCAAGCGACAATCTCTGGGGCGTAACATAAACTACTACAAGTAATGTTTAATTCAAATCAGAAGAAAAATTAATAAAATCAATGAATGAAAAACTGATGGACATCAAGCCGTAACATGTCAAGTAATTTATTCTGATGCATGTGATATTGTATATGTTTGCGTGCTTTTTTATCTTTTGGAGTGGGCACTTTGACGTGGTGTAAGCAAGTTTCTCTTGCTAGATCAATTACGACTGAGTAGTGGGTCTGATATTCACTGGGTGATCTAAACATTCGGCCTTGTGCCAGGCTAGGCTATGCTTAGAAAATCATATGAGCATTTTGACATGATGCAATAGTTTGCAAGCTTCTCTCGCTAAATTAATTACGACTTATTACTGGATCCGATTTTCATTGGGTACTCCACATCTTCGGCCTTGCGCCATATCAAAACTACGCTTAGAAAAACACTTCGACGTGATGCAATGGTTAGCAAGCATGTCTCGCTAGATCACAGTAGTGAGTTCGATCCGCATTAGGTGATCAATACTTTCGGCTTTGTACCACTTCTAAGTTACTCTAAGAAAACTAAGTCGTAACTTAGACATGGTGTACTGGTTAGCAAGCTTGCCTTACAAGATCACTTACGAATAAATAGTGATTTCGATCCTCAATTGATGCTCCATACGTTAGGCCTTGTGCCACATCTTAGCTACACTTAGCAAATCACTCTAGGTCACACTTACTTAGTTTACATAATAGTCTGTAAATTCTTTTTTAGTCATGAAATTCGCGCTCGCTGCCCTAGAATTTGTGTTCTTCAGTGAAAATATTCAAAACAATATAAACTAGTTGACATGATGCAATAGTTTGCAAGCTTCTCTCGCTAAATTAATTACGACTTATTACTGGATCCGATTTTCATTGGGTACTCCACATCTTCGGCCTTGCAGATTTAAATTTTTCCCACTTGTGACGAATGCTAGTTAACATTCATGTCAGTCAGCTGTTGGCTCTCACGCTGGCCAATAGAATCTTTCTGCCTATTCGTGGCAGCCAGCTATAGGCTCTCACTCTGGCCAGTACAAAATGGCCACAAACTACATGAAAATTGCCGTAGAAGCATGAAAAAATCGATTATTTCCACTATCGATGGGAGTTGGGAAATGCAAAGTCGGTCTTGGCCTTCTCGCTAACTTGGAACATGTGCATGTAAATCTTGGTGCAAATCCGTGGAAAATTACAGCAGCCATGCATTCGTTACACACACACACACACACATACTGCCTTTTATAGATAGAGATTTGTGCAGCTTATTTAGTGCGAAACCTGTGCCTGTCGTGTTTTTCGCGATTTGTTCAATGTTTGGTCGAATGTGCGATAAGCAGATCCTCATTTTTTACGGTAGTTTTTCTCGCTTCTTATTTTTGGTGTTATTTAGGGTTGGTCAGCCCAAATTCACATAAATAAGAAGTAGAAAATTACGATAAAACTGACAGAGCTGTTTTAGATAATGTGGGATATTCCTCTTGTATTGAAATTCAAAATATATCAATATATCGCGGCTCACTTAAGGGGATCGCGCGGTATGGCGATTGAGAATCACTGGGCTAATAATACAGTATTATCAATTAAATTATATAAGGTAACAAAAAAGTCCTTGCTATTTTTTACGTCGTGTGGAAAGAAGTAATCACTGATACACAAATGATTGCGTCACGTGACGGGAAAGCGATGGGGGTGGGCGGAGGAGATTTCTTTTCATCAATACGCGCACACATTAGTCTGCGGCGAGGAAACATGGCGGTGTCAAAGCAGGTCGTTCTGAGTTGTCAGACTTTAAGCTGAACTTGTTCGCAGTCGCATCAAGTTAACGAATACATTAAGCCTTTGGGGTTAAAGCTGGAAGTCAATGCACCTCCAGGCATTGGTTTCAAAAGTTCAGGTCTGGAGATCTGTCCCTTTAAGATAAACTCCGCAGTGGCCGGCCTCAGGTCCTGGGTGATGTTACCCAGTAGGCGGCCATAGAGGGGAACAACAACCAAACCTGTGGTGAGCTTGCTGAGGTTGCTGAACGCTTCCAAGTTTCTGATAAAGCAGTTAAACCGCCCTGCATGGGGAAGGCGTACAAGCTGAGAAAGTGGGTACCCCGCACCCCGTCGAAAATCAACTAGTAACAATGAGTGACAGCCTCTTTCATGTTTCTTCCTCGGTACCGCAATGTACCCATATTTGAATTACGAAAAGTGGATCCCCTAAGACACTCCAACGTGTGACAAGCATTGTTTGTCATTACGAGACTCTGTGACTCATACCGCAAGACTACCTCGACACCCACGCAAGATAATGCTCTGTATCTGGTGGAATAGTCGATAAGTGGTGCACTATAAGCTGCTACCAAAGGGAGATAATTATCATTGCGGATGTGTACTCACAGCAAATGGATCGTGTAAAACATGAACTGTAACTGAACCGGAAGAAACCAGTACTGTACCTCTATGTGAATGTTTAGGCTTCATGTGACACGGGGGTCCAGCGATACCATACGTCGACTTGGCTGTCCACATTACACCCCAGATCATCAAATTTATTTTTCTATAAGTGATGAATTTTTGATTTATTTAAAGATAAAAATCATTATGACGCACTTAGCTTATGTAATAAAAATTGAGGCCAGCAGAAGAAAAAGGATTAACAATTTAAGTATTTTTACAAGCTGAAAATCACAAGATATATTTGTGATCTAAAAGTATTCTGAAAATATTACCAATATAGGTTGGTTAATACAAACATTTATCGTGAAAAATTGACTTCCTTAACAGATATTGTATATATATATATATATATATATATATATATATATATATATATATATATATATATATATATATATATATATATATATTCTGTCTACATGATACAATGACAGAAAAAACACATTAAAATCATCGAAATGAGTAACGCGAAAACTTGTCCTGCAAGTTTTTGCATATTAAAATACTGACTAAATAAATTGAATTTATATATATATATATATATATATATATATATATATATATATATATATATATGCATATGTTTATAAGAAGATATATTTCGTTTTTTTTTTGTGTATGATTTACCCATGATAGTCAAATATAATTTTATCACAGTAAATTTAATATTCATATATTACATATCATGAAATGCTATATATTTTCATCATATGAAAGTATACACACATATATTATGTACATATATATGTATGTATACACACCTATATATATATATATATATATATATATATATATATATATATATATATATATATATATATATATCAGGTAATAAAAGGTTTGGTAATACGTCTGGATAATTCCAAAGAGAATGTAATCCAGAGTGCTCAATGTAACTACAGAGCAAATATTAATTACATTAAAAACGAGACAACATCAAGGCTTCATGACTATAATTTATAGTTTCTAGGGAAATAAATTATAGTTATGGGACCTTAAAGTTGTCTTTTTTTTAATTCAATTAATTAATTAATTTCTACATACATACATATATATATATATATATACATGCATATGTATGTGTTTGTGTTAGTGTTATTTATAAATAATTCTCAATCTCGAGAAATATCGGAGAAATATATATATATATATATATATATATATATATATATATATATATATATATATATATAAACTGAGAATTCTTCTGTCATAAATAGAGCAATTTATAAATAACACTAAACACAAAACACACACACACACATACATATATATATACATATAATTTTAGTTTCAAATAGACAGGCCGGAACAATTATTCTTTTGTAAATAATCCGAGTCGTCCCTATTCCAACGATTCCTTTTTTTAAATATTCAGATGAAATGGTTTGTTGGTAAAATGAAGGGAGGGGGGAAATTTTTCCGGAAATATTTAATAAAAGGGATGGTTTGAATACAGATGTCTGGTGAGGAATTTGAAAAACAAAAACAAAAAAAAATTGCAAAATAAAATAAAATAATCGTTGCCTGTCTATTTTAAAAAATAAATATGGACGACCTTTAAAATTAAAAAGCAATTTTCAAAATAATTCATATTGATTGATTGGTTCGTTTTCTAAGGCTTATCAACCCTTTGCAGGTTACTGAAAGCCAGAAAATATTTTTAGATTGTTAGAATTTTTTTTCTTACGGTAATAAGTTAGTGGCACATGTTTTACTAATTAACCCATAGCTTGGGGGAAGAGGTGGATGCTTACCTTTCCCAAAAGTATTTGCACGTTAAGTGAATATAACGAAGCCAACAGGAATTGGAGCTCAATTAACAATTCTAAACCATTATCCATTACGCCACTGACACATCCAAGCTTACAGCACCTGCTATTTCCAAGCGGTCACCAATCTAGGTACTGGCCAGGCTCGACATTGCTTAATTTTGGCTATCGTACGGGAACCGGTGTTTCAATATGATGTGGGCGTAAGCCTAAAATAATTCAGTTCTTCGATTCACATCAATAATAAAATTCACTTTTTAAATCAAGGGTCCCCAAAATTTATAGACCATCGTCCACTTCATGAAATTCTTGATCCCTCATCGACACACAGAAATATATATATATATATATATATATATATATATATATATAGCAATAACAATTGCAGAAATAGATTCACACATTTCTTTCATTATCGATTCTCAATAAAATCCATGTTTGTATTATACAGGGTCAGTCAGAATTATGTTAACATTATTATTGTTGGTGCTTATCTAGGCCGCACATTTCCAGGTCGATGGACAGGCCGCAGTGGCCCATTGCATTGGTCACTACAGTCTCTTTATTTGCTGCCTTGTGATTTCTGGTCATAGGTTATGGTGAAGGAAAGCGCATATTGCAAAAGACTTCGTGATAACAATGACTTCAAGAACAGAAAACAGACTATCGTATCATCAAATTCCTGTGAAAGGACTGTCTGGGCTTTAAATGCTAATGATGCTCGCTAGATTTTGTGTGTTGAACATGATGGAGAACAAGTTGTGACCGTCCTATATATCCTCTTGCAGATATGAAGTATATTTTGTGAATACCAGTTCTACCATTTAAGTCTTAACATAGTTTTGACTAACCCTGTATTTTGTTATTCCTTTTTCAAATTCTATTTCTCTTTCTTTACATGATGTGTTTGTTGCATACTACTACTACTACTATTAACAATAATAATAATAATAATAATATAATAAATGTGCTCGTTTCTCTCTGCATTAGTTCACACGGCCGTTACGCCCTGCCAATACTTTATGGATAATGGATTATTCCGTTATGATTGTGTGGCAAGACAAAAGATCGGTGAAAAAAAAGAAAGAAAAAAAAGAAAGAAAAAAAAGAAAGAAAAAAAAGAAAGAAAGAAAGATGTATTTAATGTGTCCTGATAATACTTCATAAATAATGAACTATTCCCTTTTGAAGACTAATGACATATCAAGGACGCTTCTGGATTTCAGTGAGAAAATGAAAGAAAAAGAAAGGACGATAGAAATGTTTAACGTCTGTTTCAGTGAAATGGAAAAAAAATGCAAATTTCATATCTTTTCATTTGTACCACATTTCTTCTTAAAATAACGATCAGCATTATTTATGATTGTTACTGCCTTATTTTGTCAAATTTTTAAGCTCAAATATTTAACGACGCGATAGGGGAATTTCTAAGGATATTTTATTGTCGTAGAACCCGATATGAACTTAATCAATCATTAACTGAAGAATTAAGATTTATAAGAAATTTAAAATAGAAAAAACATGAATTTTTCTCAGGTTAAAACTCGTAATAATAATAGGGATTAAATAAAATTCATGAATAACATAGGTACTAAACACACTAAAAAATAAATGAATATGCCTTTCTATTGATTTGGCTGATTTCATTAACAGGAAAAATGTATTTGATAAGCAATGGTAAGAACATTAGTATTAGGTTGGAAATTGGTGAGTTTCAGTCGTAAATTATCTCCATTTATTTATGGACCATCTTTTGACTCCCATGAAATTTATATCCACCGAGATGATTCGATCGACTCCAAGGAATCGATAACTAACACTTTGGAGACATTTTTTTCGGACCTATTAACTGATTCGAATAATAAATTTAAAATGTCCATTCATGATAATAAAAAATCAACAAACCCAAACCCATGTCTATTTACTCATAATAATGAATGACCCTATAAATACAAAGTAAATGACCCTATAAATACAGAGTAAATGGCCCTATAAGCCCAAAGTAAATAGCCATGTAAATGCAAAATACCCATCGTAAATAATTTAATAGAGCATGTTAATTAACCTTCTCACGTACTATACTCAAATCTTTTTCTTCTATATGAAGTGTCCTTTCTAGGGGAGGGCGATCATGGCTCACCACAATTTTATCTTTGTAAAGTTTGTCTTTTTGCTACTTTATTTAATAATGAACTTAAATATATGCACAACAAAATTAATTGACAATAATTTCACTAATCACGAGAAGAGATAAACAAACAAAATGAATATAAAAAATGACTAATTACAATAATACAAATAAATGATATAAAAATACCAGTTACACAATAAATGCAAATCAGAAGAAAAGATTATAAAAGTTTAATTGATCTTTATATAAACAAAAACATGATTATTTACTATAAAAAGCCTATAAAACACTAGCAATAATACATTAGGAACAAAATCAGAATGTTATTGATGAATTTTTTTGACGATTTGGACAATGTTCCTTTAGCGATGTCATCAACGGAAATAAAAATAATAAAAATCTAATAATAACATCAGCTATACAGTTATTACTTTATCTCGCAGACTAACTTGATATTTATCGAACAATCATAAAATATTATCAAACAAGTGTTAATGAACTTAGTTCAATTCGCACACACAAATATATTTGTTGTGGTAGGATCCACCTAATTTGCATAGTGGAGTACCGACCATATAAATATGGTTGGTACCGGGAAGAGAGGGAGGAATCAAGAGATTCAACCAGAGACTCTGCCCGACTGCGACTCAGTCAACACATTCTCCAGGAACAGTCTTACCAAGAATATACAAAAGACTATATGTAAATATTGTGTACACTTTCTTGTTTCAATACATTTTGTTCTAAGTACATTCTGTGTTGCATTATTATTCCATGCATTAGTCAAGTTTCAACAATATTAAAGATATTTAATAATTAATAAGAACATATCACAATCAAACATATGAGAGCATGATACTTGACAAATAATTTAATAAAGTAAATTTAAAATTCTAAACGCATTTCTAATGAATCAAATATGTTTGATTGATATTGATACTCAGAATTTGGACAATATATATGCAACAATATATTTAAAGGCTCAATATATATACAAGAACACCAATCATGATATTCGTGATAGAAAAAAAGAAAAAGTTAACAAAACAATCCTTAACAAAGAACTTTCGTCGATCTTTAATAAAATGAAAAGAAAAACTGCTATGCAAATATACCATATATATATATATATATATATATATATATATATATTATATATATTTGTTGGATTGATGTGAGTTTGTGACCTGGGTTTCACGCTTTTGCGATCGTTTGTCTGACGATCGCAAAAAAGGTAGGTCACAAACTCACATCTATCCAACCAAATATGTTGGCTCTATCTCTGATATTGAGCGCTTTCTAATAAGTACCGCGCATATAATATATAATTATATATATATATTTATATATATATATTTATTTATATTTTACACACACACACACACACACACACACATATATATATATATATATATATATATATATATATATATATATATATATATATATAAGTATAGGTTTGGTGTATACGGAATAAAATCCAATAACCAAAAAATACAATTCTTAAAAGAGTGCTCAATAAAGAGTAGAGCAAATATAATTATTTATTCGGAAATTATAACATAAATATGTTATAAAATCACTACAAAAATAGCCATTTTGTTTCAATACTTCTGGTGTCTTATCAGGTATTATCATACCTGAACACAGTCCCCAGAATGAAAATACTGCTTCCACTGTGTTAAGCTCAGTGTTTTATATATATATATATATATATATATATATATATATATATATATATATATATATATATATGTATGTATGTATGTATGTATGTATGTATGTATGTATGTATTTGGTCTACTTTTGAGCACTCTTTTAAGAATAGTATATTTGGTTATTGGAATTTATTCCGTATACACCAATCCTATACTTGGATATATATATATATATTAATCAGTCCCCCCCCAATCAAGGCAGTAGAGCCACTAACACGCAAGGGGGTTACATGGTGGGGAGCAATTAGGAACAGAATCGTTTGTAATGAGTAGATATAAAAAAAGAACATGAAGGAGGACAGTAGAGTGCAATTGACATTGAATTTAATTTAGTGCCTGGAAACCGAGTTCCACAAACGAGAAATGCGAGAAAAGAAAGTGTTAGCGTACCATGAAAATATTTGTAAAATTGGTACAGAAAGGCAACCTTATAGCGTTGGGCAAGTGCCTGAAGACGAGCCACCCGATCCGGAGCAATAATGTTGCTGGATCTTATCAAGGAGCTCCAGGTAAATCGCTGTGGCATCGAACCATATATGGAAGCAATATTCTAAGCATGGTAGACTTATAGATATGCAAGATAGATTCAGGAGAGAAGAATTGTCTCGCCTGACACAGTGAACCGACTTTCTTAGAAGCTGACATAAGAATGGATTTGGTATTGTCTTTCCATTTGACGTCAGCTGAGAACGTTAGCACGATTAGACACAACGAGTCATTTTCCAAGAGGAAGGAAGGCAAATAGGGGTTTCTCTGATGATTAATAGAGGGAAGTTTAGTTTTGGAGGCGTTAAAATTGACAAGACATCTTTTGCCCCAGTTAACGACCGTTTTGTGTTCGTTTTGTATATTTGTATGAGTTGGAACCAAATATAGATCGTTATTCAATAGAATGACAAGCTAAAGAACAAATAGAAATTGTTTAAGATTTATCTTTTATAAGATCTTTTATAAGAGTTTCATAAAATTTTCCTATTCGTTCTTTATTTTATCATATATATATATATATATATATAAGTTAAGTTACGAAGAACTTGGTAAACCGAATGGGTAATTCCAAGGAGGATGAAATCCTGAGAGCTCAATGTGAATCTAGAGCTAATATTTAATGAAAAAACAGACCACTTTAAGGTACCATTACAATAATTTATTTTACCAAAATCCAACCTGATGACTCCGGAGTCCTTAAAAACATTTTGGTGACCTAAATTATTGTCCCACTAAAGATTTAAAGTGGTCTGTTTTTTTCATTAAATATCTATATATATATATATATATATATATATATATATATATATATATATATATATATATATATATCAAGTACGTGGTGCAGTTCAATTTAGATTTATAATGAT